GTTTATTTTATAACATTGAAAATTTTATTAATAATATTTACTTATTTGGTTAACATAAGCATATATTACATACATATGAAACTAAAAACACAATAAATAAAATATTACACATATAAAAGTAAGAATTAAAATGCATGCTGTGGAGTGATATTTAGCGAAACAGGGGACTCAATATGCAAACTGAACACCAGTAACGTGATTCCTTCCTGATATTACATTTGTAGCAATTTCGAACACCTTCGCATAGTTTTTTTTCCCTGATGTTCCTGGTATATAATCCGGAACATGATTTCCACCTAATTGGCTTATATTAGGTCTAAATGGTCGGGTTTGTGTCGATTTATTTCTTTCAACTGAATACGTCGCAAAAGTGTCTTCAATAAATTTGTGCAAAAAGTTGATACGTGATAATGTTCCATTATTTTTTTTATATAATATGAATGCATTCAGACATATAATGTCTAAGAAATGGAGAAATATCTTTTTGTACTACTTTCTGCGCCGTTTTCTTGCTGTGGAGTACGCTATGATAATTCCATCGCTCATATCCACTCCACCCATTTTTTTTATTATAATCAATCACTAGCTCCGGTTTTATGTACAGCACTTACTAAATAAACCTCCCTTTTGTATTTCCATTTCATTATACACATGACGAGTATACTCGTCAATACACAAAATCGTGTCGCTTCTCCATGATGAGTATACTTGTCAATCACAATTAACTGGTTAAGCATTTAAAACACAAAGTAGCAGTGGAAGGGAAAAGAAAAGGTTTCAGCTTATATATAAATAAAAATTAAACACTGCTAACCTTCTATATAAACAAGAAATCGGATTCCGTGTAGGAATGTGTTTCACTATATCAGAGTAACACACGTCTCACAACAGTATGTCAGGTGTAACTGAACTAGTCTAAACAAGTATGCACCTGTCGTTGGTCTCCTATGGTGTCATTCACCTGGCATGAATCGGAGGTTTTATGTCAGTCAACAGGAGAGCAGTAACACTCCCCAAGATCGACTTTCGATGAAGCAGAGTGGTTACATTCACGTAAGGAGTAAAGGACAAACTTGACATGGTAGAAGAAAAGTAACTACAGATTTGAAAACAGTATGCCTAGCATTAAAACAGCTAAAAAATCGAGCTTAACAGAAATTGTGTTACAAATTGTTTCCCAGTCTATCCCTGTTCTTAATCTTACAGAATTAATGCAATACTGATGGACCATATTCTTATGTTTGGTACATAATTCCCATAAAACTGCAAAATTTAGAGTTCCCAGCAGGATTTGGGAATATTCAATACTGTAAATGGTCAAATATTGGAAAGTTCAGGAAAATGCAAGCCAGAATTCCAGCAATGCCAAAAAAAAAAAAAAATGCAATTCACAGCAGACAGTCCAAAGGAACGGCAGAAGACATTTCCAATCTAAAATTCTAAAAATAGTCATCTTATCTATTATCAAATTATACATGAAAAGCTTAAATTTAAAATTATGTAACACTTAAAAAAACTCATATCAAACATAAAAGCCAAGGTATTTCATAGACCTTAAATTATTCAGTTATGAAATCTCAAAACCCACTGATGATATGTTCATCGATTAAGGAGTCATGATAGAATTGAAAAGTAAATTTATTTTCAATTTCATATGTACATGTGCATATTTTTTAATACAATATTTTTCATTTGAAATACTTTTTGCATTTTTAGCTAGTGTTGAGCTTATAGTCATTTTTTAGTTCTTCAGAATGGTAAAAGCAAAAACAAAACCAAAAACCTTAAAAAGTATATTATTGAAGTTCTTTTTGAGAGTGTATCTTTTTTTGTTAAATAGTTTGGTTTTTTAATTATCCCAAGCATTTAAAGGTTATATGCCTCTATGGGAAAGGATGCCTTCATGGAAGCCAAGGATTTGAGGGCTATTTGCCTCAGGGAAGAGATGCCGTCATGGAGGATGTTTTAAGGGAAACTGACTCGTATAGAAAACCACAAAAATGGCCATGAGGCCAGCCTGCTCATTGGAATTATAACTTTGAATCGAACTATCAATGTTCAGCGACTTTACCTCTCAGCCGCTTCTTTGCTCTTTTTGTTAAATAAGAAAGTATGTAATTATTATTTCTGCCAGCTACAGCTACAAAAGCAAAGCAACTTGCCTATGGGAAAGTGATGCCTTTGAGGATTTTCTAAGAAAAAAATGGCTTGTATCCATTCACATTTTGAATGGGGAAAGGCATCATCCTGAACTGAATTCGATGGAGATTACATCATACTTATGCCAATCATTCTAGCAAATATTTAATGGAAAATATTCTTATTTAGAAAGATAATGAATAAATACAAATTACGGCGGCAAAAACATTGACACTGCTTATTATAATTTTTCAAGTTGCATAACCATTATTTATCCATTTGCAAATAAAGTTGTATATTGTTACAGAAGGTCCAGCTGATGTTAAGATAGCTTCCCCATAAGGCTAGTTTAGGGTTGCCAGAAGAAATGGCAAGGAAAGGCAGGGTTGCAAGATTTGGTGCAAAATCACGTATTTGGTGGCAAAATTGGCGATATGCCATAAACGGATGGAGAACATTTTAGAAGGAATTCTTACTGGTTTGTTGTTAAATGGTTAAATGTTCTCGAAAGCAGGCCAAAAGCTATATAAACCCTGCCTGTACATGGAGTAGCTGTCTACTGTCAAATTGATCGTCTATTAACCGTGAGTGTATCGTGAGTTGGTGGCATTATTGAGACTATTGAGTATATCGTTGAGTGCATCGCAATTTGTAGTGCGAAGAGTCTTGAGAGTATGGTAAGTTCCGAGAATGACCGAACTGAGTTGGGAGCTGTAATCTAGTGCTTCGCTGTGAAGCTGTCTCACAGTTATAGCCTGAAGGCCATGTTGCTGATTGTTTCAGCTTGTTTGTCGTAGTTTTTCGATGACTGTAAACGTGATTTTGGAACTGTCTTGATTAATACTGGCTAATAACTTGTGTTTTCATTCTTCATCAAGTGTTGTCGTTAATCACTCCAAATCCATTAACCCGTAGAACTAATGCAACAATATCATACCCATTAATGTGTACTACTCTGAACTGTGTGCTGTTACATAAAGGGCAGGTCCCAAATTTTAATCACTTTTTACAAATGCAAGGGAAAAACATAAATATCAGTTAATTTATATTCTTCTTCATGATATCTAAACCAGCTTATCGAGAATTCAGAGTTTACATAAATGCAGAAATCTTATAATTGTCTTATGTTGCCATGATTATCAACTACTAACACTAAACCATAATGTCAGGTAAAGGTGTCCTATACTTGCTTTACAAATCTCATTTGCTTAATTTTTAAGGGGGGGGGTTCTAACTATTTCAGGTAGCTGAATGTTGATAAAAATACCAAGATCTAAAAGATTCTAAGCAACCAATATTTTTTCAGTGAACAAAATATTAAATCTACTAGCTGATTTGGAAGCAAAATTGCACTTTGTATGACTTTCATTTATGTTTTTATAGTTCAGCAAAAAATTCCATTTTTTTTTATTAAAATATATAACTTTAAAAGAATTCAGAACACATGTTAATAAATAAGTACAGTGGCAGTTAATTGATTATGCTAAATATTGTTTAGGTTTTTATTACTGACCAAGAATGGGTTCTGACAAAAGTGTTTTCCATTAAGCTTTCTAACTAGTCATATATTTATTACTGAAATCAAATCCCAATAATTTTCTTTGCATGTTATATTAACCCTATCGCTGCGTAATTTTTTTAATCAAAAACAGGTTAAAAAATTGTGTATTTTTCTTAGCACATATTTCAAGTATACATACACTTGTGAGTTAAAACATAAAAATTTTTGTAAAAGTTTTTTTTTTTTTGTTTTCCAGTATAGAATTAGATCATTAAAAAAAGGTTGTTGGAAAATGGAAATTGAAGAATAAGCATATAAAAGCAAAATTTTGAAAATTAATCTTGGTTAAATTATGAATTATTTTATGAAATACCAAGGTAAAACATATATACTAATGAAAATGTACAAAAATACTTGCAAAACATTTATTAGAAATGAAGTTTAATATGTTAAACTTCGGAACAAGGCTTGAGGCCTTGCAATTTTTGCACCAAATTCGCGTTTTTTAGCGAATTGTTTTTGCCAGTTTGTTTTTTCAAGCAACAAACAGCACACTATCTACGGGGCTCTTTCCTAATGGGATTGAGGGGATATATGGCTGGCAAAATCTCAAGCAGTTAGTCTCATGGGATTGATAGTTTAACTACATCTGCCAGGGAAACACTGGAATTTCCATCTGAATACTTCGAAATGCTTAGCTAAATAATTTGTAAACGGAACTCTAGAAGCGTTATATTTTGCAATGAGTTATTCTTTTTATGACGGATATAAGCATTCCACAGTGATTGTTAGGAAAAAGAAATGAAATAAGAGTTGGTGGAGTATTTTGCATATCAATTTCTTATCACTGTTGAAGTTTTGAATAGAAAATGAATATTCAGATTCATCACTATCCACCAAGAAATTCTCATAAGTTTAGCTATAACTATCTTCAATATACTTGAAATCAGAGTCAGAACTGCTATCAGTGTCGGAAATATTGTCAGGAATGTAGGTTATATCACTCATGAAACGCTTCCTGTCAGACATCTTCGAGCTTTAAAAATAGTGCACAAAATGGTGCAATATATGCTCTTATATTTCACAGACATTTAGTTAACTCAGATCTGAATAAACAAACATCACAGGAAAGCCCAAATGAAACCATGAATGGGAAAAAAGGTGGGTTGCACAAATTTTGCTACTTCTACGTTATCCATGGATATCGTGGGATATACAGCGAGAGGGTTAAATGAAAAAGATAAAAATTCTAAACTAATTTTAAGTTCATCATAAAGTTTTGAAATAAAATTCTTCACAATATTTTAAATCTAATTAATACTCCTCATTAACTTTTGACAAAAGATTTCCTGTTACTTACCCTGATTGTTCCATATAACAAAAATAATGTCAGTACACCAGTACACACAGTAATTGCCAAAGCTACATGAACATCTTCTAAAATAGGCATAAAAAATAAATTTTAGTTTGGAGCAGCAGTAAATATTAAAATTATGAGTATGGATCAATACATTTTCATTGCTAGGTATCAATCTATAAATCTATTCATTACTATAAACACTTAAATCACTATAAAAAGTAATAAAATTAATTGTTCACAGTTCAAATATAATTATATCTATTTGTACATCACTATAGGAAAAACTATTTATCACTTTACATGCTATGAAATTAATTTCAGAAAAATTCAATAAAAGGCAAATATGCTTTATAGGGAATAGCTATGAAAAATCAGCTGAATCTAAAATAAGATACTATACATACTCCAAATCCAAGAACAGTTCATAAGCTTTGCCATCTTTATGCAGTGATTCTAAACATACAGCACACACACAAGTAATAAGCAAAATATTCCCCTTTGAAAATTTGATAAATTTATTTATGTTGCCAAGTTGCTGTATTTGAATATTCCACATAGAGCCTTTCATCCTCTTTATGTGAAATACAGAAATGCAATCACATACAAGCTAACATTATTGTTTTAGTAGTTTTACACACATAAAACTACCAAATTATACTTATTGTAACTGATCATATTAGGTCATCAATATAAGCTTCCTCAGATTCCAGATACTTTTCTTAAAAATGCACCTCTTTCAAATAAATTAGAAATGATTTCTTAAGCTTTCACACCCTTTTTTTAATGCATCATTTGAAAATTTTTTATTTTGAGGTTATACTATAGTTTAGCCATGACTAAGGGGTATAATACCCTATGAGGGTCACTGAAATTTTTGAGATACACATAGGTTTTTAAAGTTATACTTAACAAAATTTTAGGGACGTCCAATCACATTTCTGTAGGTAAATTTTCTAAAGATTAAATGCCTCAAACCATTCATTTTTTGGAGTCGATGAAAAAAATGCACTTAGAGCCTCATGAATCTCATCTTTGGGATGAAAATATCCAAGTAATTTCATTTTAAGATTAAAAAATAGCCAAAAGTCACAAATAGCTATATCAAGTGAACACGGGTGGATGTTCTATCACTCTGATCTGTTTTTGTTCAAGAAACTCAACTGTCAATGATGCATTGTCATCGTGGAGCATGAGTCCTCTAACATTCACTTCTTGAAGAATTTCTGGAAAACAGTGGTGTACCAGATAGTTGTTACTATCTTCTGTCCTTCCAACTTGATGGCTTTGACCAGTCCTGTAAATCTGAACAAAATGACATAGATATTTTTTCATGGCATGTTTTCTTTTTACTCTTTTGGACGTAGGATCATCTTCAAAGACCCACACTTTACTTTCCTGATGGTTTGGAATGTCAAAAAATTGCATGCAAGTTTCATCACCAATAACGATTTTAGAAATAATGAGGTGGCCACCATTTTTAAGTAATTTAAGGGCTTGTTTACCGATTCTGACATGCTCCTTTTTTTGGTCCTCAGTTAAATGAAGGAGAATCCAATAGCAAACTAGTTTTTTCATATGTAATTCTTCGTGAATAATTTTATGTATGGCGTCAGATTCAATGTTAAGTACTATCTGTATCATTTGGTATATGCAGTGATTATCATCAATTAACATTTTCCGTTTGGCTGACACTGTTGACAGTGGCCTTCCTGTATGTTCATCCTGAAGAGAGTTGCGACCTCTGTGAAATTATGAATACCATCTGAATACAGTAATATAAGATGGACCTTCATTTCCAAATGCTAACTGTAGATGTTGAATGTATTCTTCTTGATTTAATCCCAATTTAAAACCATAGAAAATCATTCTGTGATAATGTTCTCTTGTTAACTTTTTCCTTCTGCTTGAAATTTATTCTACACTGAACTACTTGCAAATGGCTAAAAAGAAAATTTGTCTGCTATGCTAAAATAGTTCATATTTTGACATCTAACTGTTAATTTTTTTCTGCCATTTATCGTTTGCACGTATCTAAAAAATTTCAGAGTGAGTAATGTTGCTAGCAGAGAGTAAAAGGCAAAGAACATAAGCTTTTGATGGATAATTTCTTTCCTCCAACAGATTTATTTCATGAATTGCTATATAAATATAAAATCAAGTTTTAGTACAATTCACAACAATCAGAAAAATTACCCAAAATTGAATGCTGCCATCCAAATACAGAAATGACAGATTAAAATAAAATTTTTACCCAGAATTATTTCAGGTTCTTGGAAAGACATAACACATTTTTATGCTCAGCAATATGCATAATCCCATTGCAGCCTATGATGAAACAGGAAAGCCTGAAACTGTATCAACCTACAACAAAAACATTTCTTTAACTTGAGTCACCGAATGGTAAGTCGGCCCCGAAGGATAACTGGGCCCCCAAAAAATCTTTTTCCACTTACTTGATTTAACAGTTTTAAGCACCTTTATTTTATACAAAATGAAAATTGCATACATATCAATCACAGATTTCAGAAAAAAAGAAATCGGTTGATCTTTACATTACGGTAACTGGTAGTTTGGCGACATTTTGGAGGCGATAAAGGTTACTACCTGGGACTTTGGTAATAATGTGAGCAGTACTGAGTTCCGATTACGCATTATTTTGTGTGGGGGAAATGAGAGATCATGGGATATGTCATGTGATATTAATGGACGAATTACGGTTCTTTAATCGGAAAAAGGGGGGAAATCGGGAAAAAATCTGGAAATTTTGTATTTGGCTTTATTCTGTGTTGTGTGAAATAGTGTTTGTGAATTTTTGGATCCCATGGCCGTAAGTAAAGTGAATTCGAAATGGGTATTTAGTGGTATTGAAAAGGATAGTAAGAAATGTTTTTAAGGTTGTGTGAGAGAGAAATAAACATGTTTTATTATGTTATTTATTTTACCTGGTATCTTGCTTTGAAAGATAAGTATGATTTTAAAGATTCTGAAAGAGAATGAAGAAAAGTGTATCCGCCACGTAATGAAGATTCTGAAGGAGATTAGGTAAGTTAGTATTTTTAATTATTTTATGCATTGTTGGAAATGTAAGGTGGAAAGGAATTTGGTATTATGGGAAAATTGTTATTAGCAATGATTTAGTTTAAAAGTAATTAGGATTGTAAGGTAATTTTTATTAATTGAATGTATGTGCTCATGTATATTTTAAGTGGTGTTTTTGAATTTAATTATATTTAATGAAATGATAGTTATTTTGTGAATTTTTACTTGTAGGAATTTGGTGTATGTTTAAGTTGAAAAAATGTGCATGGAAATAATTTAAATATTTGATAATAAATATTGTAATGCTTCATGTATGAATCATTGGTGACGTATATAATGTAATAGATGATTTAGAGGTTAAAAGTTTTTGGATATTTTATTTTTTTATATGTGGAAATGTTCATATTTGTAAAGGGTAAATACTTTTCGCGATCATGTAATTTCATATATGTTCTTTTACCGGGTTTAAAGATTGAGAAAATTGTCATGTATTTTCGTGAAATTTTTTTAATTTATGAGATAAAAAGCAGTGTACATGGATATAGTGAAGAGTGTGCGCAATGCCATTTTTGTGCAATTCTGGGATGTTTTTTTTAAGTAAAAATAAGTCGACATGTACATGGTTCAGTGATATTTTAATGAAATGATAGTTATTTTGTGAATTTTATGCTTGTAGGAATTTGGTTTACGTTTAAGTTGAAATAAACGTGCATGGAAATAATTTAAATATTTGATACTAAATATTTGTAATGCTTCATGTATGAATTCGTTGGTGACGTGTATAATGTAATAGATGATTAGAGGTAAAAGTTTTTGGATATTTTATTTATTTTATATGTGGAAATGTTCATATTTGGAAAGGGTAAATACTTTTTCGCGATCAGGTAATTTCATATATGTTCTTTTACCGGGTTTAAAGATTGAGAAAATTGTCATGTATTTTCGTTAAATTTTTCGAATTTATAGAAAAAAAGCAGTGTACATGGATATAGTGAAGAGTGTGCGCAATGCCATTTTTGTGCAATTTTGGGATGTTTTTTTAAGTAAAAATAAGTCGGCGTGTACATGGTTTATGTGTATGTGTTATTTTGAAAAACGCGTAAGGTGTATGGTATTGTGCACTTTTTCGGAATTTTGCAGTGAATATTGTCATGATTAAGCAGTTTTGTTTGATAAAATTCTAGCATAAGTGTAATTCGGCTAGTAGATTGTTGGAAGAAGTGTTCAGTAGATAAGAAGAAAAGAAACATGTCTTTACTTCGTGAAGACAAAATGGCGGCGGGGAAAAAAAAATAGAGGGTTGCTGTAGGGGAGTTGGTCGCCAAATTTTCGCCAAAAAATCACCAAGTTACCGTAATGTAAAGATCAACCAAGAAATCTTGTAAATCAGCTCATCAATGATTCAGGAACTTCAGTCAGCTCTACAGTCTCAGATATCATTTCATTGACAGAAGAGCACAGGCACATTCAAAACAAAGCTCCACAAAGATGTGCTGCTTCTTAGAGAATGGGAATAAGAAAGCAATCATGAAAAATCCAACATACAGCAATACAAGGTAAATAAATTCCTACGCACTCACGTGTACAGATACAACCAGTCTTTTCTTATATTCTTATCAGTTCATTCTTAACCATCCTGTCCTCTTTATTTACATATCTGTTCATTCTAAAGTGACTTTCACACAAGGAAGTTTAATGTGATAAGAATGTTGTTCAAACAAGTTACAGGAACATAGATATAACTTTTAGGTCCCAGAAACAAAAATAGCTTTATAATTTCAACCTGAAACCTTATAATCATAAATACACTAAAACTAGTCAAGCGATTTGAAAGCATTTTGCTTTTCTTTGTAGAAGATAAATTTCTTCGTTGCATTTCTTCTTGGAGATTTCATGACAGAGAACATCTGGTAATTTATTTTCAAGTTGGATTTTCCAAATAGCATTTGTTGCCCAGTATTTGTGAAATATCACTGTCAGCTGAGCTCCCATAATGCAAACACTATGCAAAATGTCTCCCATTAATATACAAATCACTATTCTAAGACGAGGTTCCCCATCTGAATTTCTAAACATTGTCCTTTAACTGTTTGAATCGCTTTCCATTCACTGAACACATACCTCAGCAATAACACTGAAAAACAGAACCATGAGGCATGTCTTGGTTTCTTAGTTATAAAATTTTTGATAATGGTGCATATAGGGCTCCACGAAACCAAAGAATGACTGCCAAATTTTTTTGGTGAAAAAGTGAAAAGTAGTCAATTCAACAGAGTCAGTATAGGACTTACAGGATTCATTTGACACAATAAGGTTTTTTTAGAATAATTAAATATCACAGATATATCATAAAATTTAAACTGCACAAATTAGAATATGCTGACATGGTTGATGTCAAAGCTGCTGCAAGACAGTCTGGAGTTGAAACTGGTATAGCTAATACAGGAAACAGAAAAATTGACATATGACAACAGTTTCAGAAAGGAGAGATTTTCACTGGCAGAGAATCTGAATTTATTTGGACATTTCTCATAAAGTGCCAAATTATGTATCTAAGACAACAGCTAACTATCATGTAACTACTTTTCCTCCAGACTTTCAAACTATATACAACACACAATTTTGCTATAAACTTGAAAAGCTCTTTGAACTAAGAAATTTTCTTAATTTCGATAACAGTTAAACATGTTTATACAGTCTAACATGTTCTCATAGCAAAGCTGGGAATTTTGCGTAAAAAGAATGCAAAAGGAATCCATGAGTAAATTGTTTTGAATTATGCATTTGCATACTATATAAATATTTTGAATGACTTAAAATTCATTCTATTATGAATACCTGAAATATATTACTGGGCAATTTTCAATAAACAGTATAAAACGGTACCAGTTTAAATAATCTTTTTCCAGTTTTTAAAACTGAAATAAATTATTCCAGAAAATAGTTTTCCACACTTCTGTTTTATTCTGCAGCTATTTTTGGAGAAGAACTGAATTAAACTAGGTGCACTTACATAACTGGACATTGCAATATGAGCAATGTATGATAAAATGAAATTATTTTTAATTAAATCTGGCATATTCTAAATTGCTGACAGATTTCCTCCTTAAATAGTAGGTTATCACAGAGGTTTTTAATATTTATGTAGAGTTAAAATTTCAACATTGCTGTAGAGATTAACTTTAACAGTTTCACAGAGTTTAAATTTTTAATCATTTCTGTAGTGTTAAGCATTCAGTTTCCAACTATTTCTTGTATAGAAACAAATTTTAAAGATCTAAATCTATTTGATAACATATATACAAAACCAAATTACAAATTATGAGAAAATTTAACAGTGAAAAAAAAAAAGACTGAGACGAAGACCAGATAAATCTAAAAGATTAAAACTAGCTATAAAATAATCAAACAGTGAAGGAATTTTATAACATAGCATTAATATAAAGATAAAATAATTAGTGTATTATTTATAAAAATACATAATTTTGTAATGTAATTTAAAATCATTATTTTAAAATTCAAACTTTATTTGTAAAAAAGTTTATGTACTATAATATTAAAAAATGACATTTTCTGTAACAGAAGTTTACATTCCCTTTTGCATTATCTTGGAGTAGTCCGACTTCGGAACAACCGCACTTTGAAATTTCCCCTCAATGAGAAAAAAACATCCAGAAGTGTACTCACTAAACCCTACATTTCCTTTGTGAATCTATTAAAGCACACACGAGGATCCTTGTTTCAAGTAAGTTAAGAGTGAGGGGGGGGAGTATTAGGTTCCGAAAGGGGACCTAAGGAAGAAAGTATTAGGTTTAAGAAAGAAAGGGAGGTTTAAGAAACCCTTAACTTTCAAAGCTCGTATAGTTGCCAAACCCTCAAGCCCAAAAGGTTAATGGACATGACACCAAAGCATACTTGTTTCTTCACTTTAACTGTTCAAAAATCATCAAAATATTGTTTCCTATATTTTTCATAATACTTTGGCATAATTTATACAGTAGGAAAAGAATATCTTAGAATATCATACATAAGTTATACAATATAAATAAATATCACTTAAGAATGTTAATATACCACAGACTCACTTAATGTTAAAATTCATTCTAAAAATATTGTAATTTCCCTAGGCCAGCTTGTATAATCATGTATGCTCATTACAAAAAATTTTAAGGATTTCCCCCCCCCCCTTAAATTTCAAATCAATCTCTGATGAAAATAAAAATTATTAAAATATAGTTTGAATAAATAAAATAGAATACTGATATCATTAGCATGTTGGCTGAAAGATAAATACATACTTAATTGATGCTTGTCATGACTAAATGCATAATTTGCAGCAGGGCCTGCACTTAAATCAGGTAACTGAGGACTATAATATTCAGACGTCAGAAGACCATTGACATCATGAGGTGTAGCTGTTCCAGATGTAGCCCAAGATGTAAATCTATTTCTTGCATCAGGATTTATCAGAACACTGAATAGAAGTGTTAAAGCCAAAAGATGTAAAACCTGGATAAAATAAATTTTAAAATAAAATTCAGAATTGAATCGTTCATCAATAAATGAATTCAGAAAATTCATTTAAAAGCACATAAAATAAATAAGGTACTTTGATTTATCTACACTCCCCACCAAAAAGTATTGACGCAGAGCAGTATTATATGGCAACCTACAAAATGGCCAAAAAGTATTTATGTGCTAACTTTCTCATTAGAAAATTCCAAAACTTTTTATTATGTATAAATGTCACTTCGCTGACAGGTCTTTCTGTTGATGCCAATGCTGTTCTGAAGTCAATAATGAGTCAGACAAAATTACGATCCATACTTACAATACAAACATTTTACAGGAAGAAACTGAACATTTGGTACTATTCGGTTTCGAAAGCCGTAAAAAAATTGCAGCGAAAATGTACGCGCAAAAGCGCCAAATCTAGCAAACGCGCCCAGTTAACAGCGCGCCAAATCTAGCGTCGCGTGATTTCAGATTGCCAGTTTATATAGTTCTATATTTCTTAAGACGCCATTGAAATACTATTTAATTTTTAATTATTTTTGATTTTAAATCTTTTTTGAATCCTATGGATTTCACAATTTGGGAACTGCCCATAACGAAAAGTCGGCAATAGAATTTGGGTAAAGTGCAAATCATCCACTGCGGAGTGTTTTAAGAATTGCAAATACTCGGTATCCATGTGCACAGCGACCTATTTTACTTAAAAAAAATCTAGAATTGCACAAAATGGCAGTGCGCACACCCTTGACTTTATCTATGTACACATCGACCTATTTTCACTAAAAAGTAAAAAGAAAATTAACAAAAATCTAATTGTTTACCCTTGTAAAAAGCGGCGACAAATAAGTGAGCGATTCTGCACTTACCGAAATATTTCAAGGAAAGGCATCATTCATTATAGAAAATTACTTTGAACACCAACGAGATGAAATTATGCTTTAGCGATAGTCGTAGCGAAATAGCGAGCAGGCATCATTTAGTTATGTTTAGCAATTTTTATATAAATTATATAATGATCTGAAATAGTTATTACTCTTATGCTTCATTCAGTCATGTTTTCCCTTTTTTATATAAAAAATAATAATAAAAAGTATTATATGAAATTAAACCTCATCTAAATTAACATTAATCTTAAATAGTTATTTACTATTATACTTCCTTTCTTGCTGCAATTATTAGGGTTGCTGTAATTATTTTTGGCAGCATTGGCATCAACAATAGTTTGGCGATTTTTTACGGCCCTCGAAATCGAATAGTACCGAACATTTTAGCAACAAATTATATAACTGTCAAGTTATCACAGCTTTTGGTTACAGTAAAAGACAGGAAGTTAGTTGCTCTAACTTAATGACCCACCACCTGACAGTGACAATAGCTCATCCTTCCACCTACGACTTTGGTCATCTAGACTCGAAATAAAACATAAAGGAAAAGGAAAACATTAATAACCCTCTGGCTGCTCATCCCGCGATTTCCACGGGCAACTCAAATGTAGCAAAATCTGCTCATCCCGCGATTTCCGTGGGCATGGGTTTTTCTTCCTCTATTGAGGAGCACATCCAGTTTTTTCCCCATTTAACCACTGAAATAAATTATATACAGTATTAGACGTTTAGGTACTTACGTATTAATGCAACCAGGCCAAAATTTGCATAAATTGCCAAATTTGGCTACCCTACTTATGGCAACCTACGGTTATACGTAGTTTGTAAAAGAGATGTGGACATTCAAAATTTTCCTGCATTTCATGCAAATTTTTGTAATTTATGAGAAAATAGCATGTAAAGGATAAAGTCAAGGTGTGGCAATGCCATTTTTGTGCAATTTCTGGGATGTTTTTTTTAAGTAAAAATAGTCGCGTTTACATGGTTATGGCAAATAAGGTTTTCAATCAGTGCTAAAAGCAAATAGCCAAAGATTTCCGCTGAAAAAATAATTCTGCAACTTATTCAAATTCGAATGGAAGGGTTTAATTGCTATTTTATATTTAAAAAAAATAATATAACAAAACTCTATTAAAAATTATCGGTACTATCCGTTTTGAGGACCGTAAAAAATTGCAGCGAAAATGTATGCGCAAAAGCGCCAAATCTAGCAAACGCGGCCCATTAACAGTGCGCCAAATCTAACGTACGCGGATTTCAGATGCGTAGTTTATATAGTTTACCTTCTTAAGCGCCATGAAATACTAGTTTAATTTTTAATCTTTTTGATTTTAAATTCTTTTTTGATATCCTATGTATTTAACCTTGGGAACTTGCCCATTCAGAAAAGTCGGCAATAGAATTTTGGGAAAGTGCAAAATCACCCACTGCTTGACGCGGTTTTTAAGATTGGCACATACCGTATCCATGTACATCGACCTATTTTCACTTCAAAAAAAATTCCAGAATTGCACAAAAATGGCACTGCGCACACCCTTGACTTTATCTATGTACACATCGACCTATTTTCACTTAAAAAGTAAAAGAAAATTGACAAAAATCCAATTGTCTTTACCCTTGTAAAAAGCGGCAAACAAATAAGTGGGCAATTCTGCATTTTACCGACAATGTTTCCAAAGAAAAGGCATCATTCTTATAGAAAATTATGTTTGAACAACCAACGAGATGAAAGTATGCTTTAGCGATAACTGGGTAGCGGAATAGCGATGCAGGCATCCATTCAATTATGTTTAGCAATTTTTATATAAATTCTAATACTGATCTGGTGTGGTGTGTGGTGTATTTAATTATGGCAAAGCTCACTAGGGCTATCTGCCTAAGGGGAGGGATGCCTTCGTGGAGGACTTTCTAAGGGAAACTGGCTCGTATACACGTTACACATGGGGAAAACCACGAAAACACCCATGCAGCCAGCCCGTTCGCGGGATTCGAACCTCGGACCGAACTACCAGTGTTCAGCGACTTTACCGCTCAGCCGCTGGTGGGCCTCTAATACTGATCTGAAATAGTTATTTACTCTTATGCTTCCATTCAGTCATGTTTAGCCTTTTCTATATAAATTATAATAAAAAAGTATTATATGAAAAACCTTTCATCTAAATTAAAACATCAATCAGATAGTTATTATTATTATTTACTCCTTTCTTGTGTTAGGGTTGCCGCAATTATTTTTGGCAGCACTGGCATAAACAATAGTTTGGCGATTTTTTACGGCCCTCAAAACCGAATAGTACCAAATTATCTGTAATTAATAAATGTACATTTTCTCTCTATTCATACTTTTTTACTCAAACTTACAAATAGCGCCAACCTGGTTGCGATAATACGCAAGTACCCGTTTAGTTTACATTCTGGCCAACAAATATCATTAGTTGTCCACTAAATTTTGGCATTTGAAGGCACGTGGTATTACCGCTCAAACTCCACTTTTTGCGCCCTTTTTTTTTGCAGAAATAGCTGCTGGAAAACATTCAGCGATTATCTTGATTATTTAATTAAATTGTTGAATTATTAATTAGATTTATTCATTAGATTAATAATTAGATTGATCATTAATTAGATTTATTGAATCTGGTGCAAAGACTGTGAAGTTGGACTTTGCCTTGAATCCTGTTTTGAACTCTATCATACTAAACTGCATTTCTAAGGTATTTTTTCGTCAGTGCTTTATATTTTCTTAAATTTTATATATTTTACTTTTGTATATTATGCAATAAATAGAAATTGACTGCAATTTGACTGAAATTTATTTTAAAAAATTTTTCTGGCAACTTAGTTTTTCATGATAAAAATCTATAAAAAAAATAATTTTCTAGCAAGGAAAAATGCATTTTTTAATTCTCCAGTATACAGTAAGACCCCGCTTAACGCTGTTTCGTTTAGCGCTGTTTCGGTTTAGCGCTCTTTCATTTCAACTCGGGGATTCCCTGAAATTGTGCGCAGCGCTAGGTTTCCAAATAACATATCCGAAACAGTGTAATTGTGTTTCTTGTTTGGTGCGGTGCTGTCCGGACACATTTTTATCATTTGAAACATTTGTTGACATTATTGTAAGTAGAAATTTATATAATACCATAACGATTAATTACAGTGACAAATATTATGATCTTTAGTTTTTATCATGGGATAATAAAAAACAAGAAAAGAAAGCAACCAGAAAAGCATTTCACTGGAAATTAAATGCACGTCATTAGAAGATTAGATTCTGGTGAACGTCAATCTCAATCAGTGCTGCGTGAATTGGCAACTTCTTGAGATCAACATTAGATGCCTTCTTGACAAAAAAGCAGAAAATTGGAAAACACAGATAGACTGAATGATCTGACTGACTGAGATTATTTGTTTTTTATAAGTAATTCGTTTATATTGTTTATATTTTTGTAAGAAATAAATGTTTGGTTTTATTTTTATTAAAAAAACAATATTAAATTTAACACCTAACCAATTTTCTATCCATCTTTCCCTAACCCCATTATTTACATGTTAAGAGAGCCTTGTTTAGCGCTGTTTCGTATTACGCTCTACTTTGATGGAACATATCCCCCGCGTTAAGCGAGGTCTTACTGTATATAGATTTAAAATATGAAAAAAAAAAAAAAAAAATCACACAATTTTTGAAGTGATTTTGGTCCACAAATCGAGCAGTCAGAGGGTTAATAAACTTGTTACAATAAATGAATAAAAATTAGAAGTAAACAAAACAATTAATGAGTTCATTAGTTCAGTCTATTGGCAGTCTTAATAAGGTCTGCTCTTTCTAGTAAATCGTAGTTGCTGATTAGACCCCACAACGGAGTCAGTTTTCTTGATAGCACTGGGATCAGTACTCGTAGACATCTTTTAGTCATTAAGGCACCTCTTTGAAGTTATTGTTGTAAGTTCCCCTAAAGTACGACAGAAGTTTTGAAGGTTGGAGATGAATCTGCACATCTACATTGTAATTTTCAATAACTTCAAGAATATTTATCATGATACTTATTTGTGTTTTCTATGTTCATGACAGAAATGATTGACGATTTCTTTTCTAAGTTCACGATTTGCATTTTGGGG